ATCTGACCTGTGTTGAGGGTGGTGATCCTTATTATGCAAAAGGAGGCTGTGGTTTGTGGCCTATGATCATAAAATAAAGTTGAACAATATGGATCATTAATCCTAGTAGATACTAAATATAAAATTAACTCTCAATCTAGTATGAATTTTTCAATTCGGTTGTTTTAGCTCTGAATCTTTCTGAGAATGTTACTAATGCCAGAACATGCTAATGTAATGCTGCATGTGGAAAGTGACCAGTATTGTTTGATACGTTATATCTGTTGAGGTTTGGCTCTTAATGTTGACTTTTATATACTTATATATATTTGCAATTTTCTTTAGGTTCAGTGCGCTGGAGGATGAAGATGACTCTCGACGTGATTTATTGAGGAGGACAACTATTGGAAATGGTTTTTCGTAATACAATTCTTTATGATGAACTAAAAATTGTCACCTGCAGTTCTGAATGTAATCTCATCACTTCAAGCAAACATGCAGGCCCTCCGGAATCTATACTTGACTGGACTAAGGAGTTTGACGCGGAGTTGTCAAACCATAATTCCAGCAACCAAGCATTTTCGAGAAAACACTGGCGTCTCCTTCAGTGCCAAAATGGTTAGTGGTTTTGCATGATTTCTAATTCCCTCCTAAGGCCGGTACGACTTGTGCCTGCTTCAAAATAAATTTTCACTGCTATACAATCTGGAAGATCATATAATATTCAATGATAGAGCTTGAATTTGGGATTAATCTCTCTCTGTTTAATACATTTGGCAGGCCTACGGATTTTTGAAGAGCTACTTGAAGTTGATTATCTTGTATGGATAGCTTGTCATATTTATGGCATACTTTCATGTTGATGACATATTAATTTTATTTAGTCAAGAACCCTCATTTAGAGTGCTACGCATGCAGCCACGAAGCTGCAGCAGGGCAATGAAGGCTGTTGGTGTAGTGGAGGCCACATGTGAGGAAATATTCGAGCTTGTGATGAGCATGGATGGCACTCGATATGAGTAGGTGTTTCTCGAGCTCCTGTATGCTCAGTCATATTCCAGTTACAAGAGATCATTTTTATGGTGTTCCATTTTCTTCATTTGTTGTAGTTAGACGCTCTGTTAATTGGATTACATAAACTTTTTGTTCCACTAATACATTGTCACTAGTGGTTGGTCTTTATATTTTTCCTGTTTACACATCTTCAGATAATGTCTAGCCCAAAATTTCTATCAATATTTAGTAAGTTGAAGTGTTTTTCTCATGTTCTGGTCTGTATCTGAAGCTCTCTGTCTTCCCTCTTTTCTTATGATTTGGCAGGTGGGACTGTAGTTTTCAGTATGGGAGATTAGTAGAAGAGGTGGATGGTCACACAGCAATACTCTATCACAGACTTCTCCTCGACTGGTTTCCAATGTAATATTGCACCTGCAAAATAATCATTCAGTAATACTCATCACATTCACATTCGCTTACAAAAGTACAGACCACATCCTCAACGAAATAGACCAGTTAACTTGGGGCTCTAGGTTTATGAAGATATGTTTTTATTTTGTTTACCTTAATCCCATGCAGCTGAAAAAATGGTGGAAAGGATTTACAATAATAATTTTTAATGCTTACTATTTGCGAAACTCCTGGTTTCAGTTAGAATATTACCTGGTTGTCTCCAGGAACTCTGTTTCATACCACTCATGCTATTAAAATGGCTGCAGGGTTGTGTGGCCTCGTGACCTCTGCTATGTACGTTATTGGCGCCGTAATGACGATGGAAGTTATGGTATCTCCCTTCCCCCTTTACTAGAAACTGGACACTGTCTTTTATAATATCTAGTTTTAATTATTTATCTCGCTCTTTCTGTGAAGTGGTATTGTTTCGTTCTAGAGAGCATGAGAACTGTGGTCCACAACCTGGATTTGTTCGGGCTCATCTTGAGAGTAAGTTTAGGATTTCTCTTTTCATGCTTAAGTCATTTGCCACCAAAATATTCGATTCTGTTATGTATTATTATCTAACTCAGATTACTTTCTCTTGTTTAGGTGGAGGATTTAACATCGCCCCACTAAAACCCCGAAATGGAAGGCCCAGAACACAAGTGCAACATCTAATACAAATTGATCTTAAAGGGTGGGGCGCAGGTTATCTTCCAGCATTTCAACAACATTGTCTTCTTCAAATGCTTAACAGCGTTTCTGGTAAGTTCTTTTGTGCCATTACCACTGAGATTCCTGTGGAAAATGACTTGCTCTTCTTGAAACCGAATTTGCGCGTCTACCATTCTAAGTCATAAGCTCATGTTCCTTACAGGTTTGCGCGAGTGGTTCTCGCAGACAGATGATAGAGGTCATCCAATTAGGATCCCTGTTATGGTTAATATGGCATCTTCTTCTTTAGCCTTAGGTAAAGGTGGAAAGTCTCAGCATAAATCTTCCCTTTCTATTGATCAAACAAACGGGGCCAGCAGAAACTCTGTGCTATTGGATGAAGACTCGGATGACGATGACGAGTTTCAGATAGCTGAGTCAGAACAAGAGGTTGGCCTATCAAGCATTCTCTTTTGAACTACAGATTTTATCAAGTTTAAGTCTTTCTCACAATTAACTATTCTTTCAGCCTGAAACGAGTAAGCCGGACACAGTCTCCAAGAAAACAGGTGAAATTATTAGTTGTATCCTATCATTAATAAATAAGTTCCACCTGAGCCAGAAATTGTATCTAATTACTATGAAATTCTCGTGTCATTTGAAACCTCAGAAGAGGAACCTGCTCTCGACATTGATCTGTCTTGCTTCTCGGGTAATTTACGACACGATGATAACGAAAATGCCCGTAACTGCTGGAGAATTTCTGATGGGAACAACTTCAAAGTCCGTGGAAAGAGTTTCTGTGAAGATAAAAGGAAGGTTAGTAATCTCTCACCTAGTTACTTTCAACAAATTATAAAGATGCACATTCTTCTACATCAGAGTACCTCTTTAATTCTGATCACTAAACATTTTACTGAAGATTCCTGCTGGGAAGCATCTAATGGATCTTGTCGCCGTTGATTGGTTCAAAGACACTAAAAGAATGGATCATGTGGTTAGACGAAAGGGCTGTGCGGCACAAGTAAGTGATACAATCACCTTAGTTCTTGTTGCTTAAGTTCCTCGTTAGTATTAAGGGAGATGTTATTACCGTTCTCCGTTACTGTTCTCTATCTTTGATGTCTCTTGTTCTTCACTTGGAAAATTCCAGTTAATATATTAATAATCGTTTCAGGTTGCTGCAGAGAAGGGTCTTTTCTCAATGGTAGTAAATGTTCAAGTAAGTTTTACCCGTGAACTGCAATGTAATGTGCAAACTACAGATGCAGTTTTTGATCAATGTTTAAACCGGCGCTTTGGTAGGTTCCTGGATCAACGCACTACAGTATGGTATTTTATTTCGTGACCAAAGGACTCGTACATGGGTCCCTCTTCCAACGATTTGTTGATGGTGATGACGAATTTCGTAATAGTAGGCTCAAGCTTATACCTACAGTCCCTAAGGTCTCTATCTCTCTCGCTCTCTCTATCTATCTTTATGTATAACTTTAAAACTAATTGAATCACATAATACCCAATCATGCAGGGTTCATGGATAGTAAGGCAAAGCGTGGGAAGCACCCCGTGTCTCCTCGGGAAAGCAGTGGATTGCAACTACATCCGCGGTCCAACATACTTAGAAGTGAGTCCACATTTTGTTAGGTTTTTAAGAGCTCTTATATACTTTATAAAGTAACTCAAAAGAAACTCTTCCATCTCCATGTAGATAGATGTAGATATCGGGTCATCCACTGTCGCAAATGGAGTTCTCGGTCTTGTCATTGGCGTAATCACATCTTTGGTTGTCGAAATGGCTTTCCTTGTACAGGTAAATCAATCTAACAAAACTGAGACTTTAAAAACTTATGATAATGTATTTAATATTGCTTCTTCTCCTCGTGAAATCTCTTTTGGATGTTGCGTTTTGTAGGCGAATACACAGGAAGAATTACCGGAGAGGCTTATCGGGGCAGTGAGAGTTTCTCATATAGAGCTATCATCGGCTATAGTTCCCAAGTTGGATTCAGACTAGCCCTTGAGCTCTCTCTCCAAACTCAGAAGCGTTACATCATTACTTCATGTTTGGTCTGGTCTCATTATACACTCCCTATATTGTATTCTCTTCCCTTTTTCTCTCTTTTCACTTCATGTTACATTATAGTGAGAAAAGGAGAAGAAAAGTAAAAGCGAGTGATCATTAAAACTTTATACAAAAATTAAGAAACATGAATGCAAGATATATGTCTATTATTGTGTCCACCTTTTTTGTTCCATTTCGATTATTTTTTTTAGAATTCTTTTCATGGAATATGGGGAGAAATCTATTTGAAGCAGAATGCATGCCAACAATAACAAATCTTAATATTCCTTTTTTTTTTTTGCCTAATTAGCTTAATATAACTTTTCTTTCTTTGTAGCATATGGATTAAAGACTTAAAGTAGTGTCCTCCATACAAAGTATAATTTGCTAGTCAGGTTTTCCACTAACCTATTAAAGAAAACACCAGTGACTCAACTTCACTGAATATGAACCCTTGCTTTAAATGATTATATTACTTTTCTAAAATTTTTGTTAGAAATGAAACAAATAATGCATAATGATTTCATTAGCTTAAAATAATTTATGTAGTTCTTTATTCTCTGCACATTCACCCAAACATTTTAAAACGAAGACCGCGCATTCATCCAAAACATCTTATAAATCAAAACATATGGAGTACCGTAGTAATCTCGATGCGTTCCATATAAGTATCAATCCACAACCTCGACTAACACAACTCAATGGTCAATATCACTAAGCTAGCATAATTTATTTAGTTTTTTTAAAAAACAATAATTTGTATTTATCAACCTTCAAAGAGGTTTTGATATGTGACTGTGAACAAAACATGAAGCCAATAAATGTGTAACATTCTATAATAAGAAAAATAAATTAAAGAAACTGTCTCTTTTACCTATTGATGTCTATCTGCAATCACATTTGGCTTTACTTCAATCCCATAATTTCCACAATTCAAAAGATCGTAGCCACTTTTCGAATTCAAATCGAAATGCACAAACCCAGATTCCGGTTTAACTCCTATATTTCCAGTTTCTTCTTTCTCTTGATGTCCACATAACCGAAAATCTTCGGACGAATCACCATTAATGTGTGAGATATCGGTAACCAAACCGGCCTTTTCGATCTTGTGATCATCTCCTACAAGTCCTGAAAGTGCAAGATTGAAATTTGAGAATTGACACTTCTCTGTTTCTGCTCCATTACGACAAGGTATGCTCTTTTGTGCTTTCTCTAGTAATGTCAACAAATACTTTCCTTGTGCCTCCATTCTCATCTGAAGTTTTTTCTGCACCTATAAACCGAAAAACAAAACCAAAAATCTTGATTCAAATTTCTGTTTTTATTGTTTTAAGAGACCAAAAGAAAAGATTATTCCTCTCTTGTTACCTCAAGCTGTTCTTGAAACCTCTGTTGCGCATCGACCTGATGTATCAACGCCTCTGCAAAAGGTACATTCCCGCTTTGTCTGCGTATGCGTGTTCATTAACATTTTTGTCAAACCAAGTTCACAACAAGTCCATTGAGATCAAGAGTGGCATATACATATATGCAATGATACCTATGATGGTTATCAAATCTTGATTCATTCGAGATTCCTCCTTGAGAACAATTGTCAAAATGCACATATGAACTTCCTGTAAATGAAAAAAACAAAAAAAAAACAATTGAATATTTTGGTTTCTCTAAAACGTCCTCTACATGTAAAATATGGTTCCTAAATTATATGTGTGTATAGCTATATTTTCTAAATTAAATTATAGATCATGTGTTATTGATATGATCATACATACAAACATGAAACATACCAGCATTTTCCTTGTTTTGTTCTGCTCGATTTTGTTTTTTCCCTTGTTGTTGACCAAGTCTATACTTCTACACATATAAATACACATCACAAAGCATATGTAAAAATTAAAAGTCCACAATGACATAATTTATATATTCAAAATTCGTATATTTATATACATATATGTGTGTGGAAATTGGACCTGTAAATGGCTCTTAAGATGGTACAATGTTAAGCCTTTTAATCCCATCAACTTCAAAACCGATTTAGGAGTTGCTTCTGCAGAGATCAAAATCAAGAACATGTGTCACTAAATCAACCGGATAATTTAACACTGGTTGATCAAACCGGATTAAACCGGAATCATAGTGTGAAACCGGTTATAAGGAGGANGAGCTTACTGTCTGCACCACCGAGCTTAGCGACGGCGTCGACGAAGCGGTCGTGAAGATCGGCGGTCCATCTGAGCCTTGGTTTAGGATCTCTAGTCATCATTACTCCGCCATTTTCGTAACCTAAACCTCCAAGATTCATTCTCTCCATTTTCTCCGATCAAATCAAGAAGATGAGAAAATGGCGATTGAAATATTAACAGGAAAATCT